TCACCCTACTTCAGTGGAGTAAATTATGCCTATTAGAATAATAGGATGATGCTCTTCATTCAAGCCAACGATCTAGAAGCTTGGAACTCAATCATGAAGGGTTACTACATTTCACCCGGTGAGATGGACGATTGGAGTGATCGAGAAAAGAAAAAGTCACAGCTTAATGCTAAGGCTATGCACATTCTCTTTTGTGCATTAGGTCCAGATGAATATGGAAAAGTATCATCTTGTTCCAATGCCAAGGAGATATGGGATAAGCTCCAAGTCACTCATAAAAGAACCGATGAAGTGAGGGAAACCAAGATAAGTCTTCTCAACCATAGCTACGATAATTTCAAGATGAAACCCGATGAAGACATCAAAGCTATGACAGATAGATTTTCCGTGATTGTCAACGATCTAAAGATATTCGGAGAAGTAATCCCTAATGATAAGCTTGTGAGAAAGATATTTACTCTCTTCCAAAGTCTTAGCAATCGAAGAAGACGTCGATTAACGAAGCTAAAGACCTAAAGCCTCTCACTCTTGACGATCTGATTGATTCTTTTCTCACTCATGAATTGATGGTGAAGGAAGAGGAAGAAGATGAAGAGAAGTAAAACAAGAAGAAGAAAGAGGTAGGCATTGCCTTCAAAACCACCAACGAGAGCTATCAATATTCAAATGAAGATGTGGATGAAGACGATCATGAAGAAGAAGAGATAGCCAATCTCTTCAAAAAGTTCAAGAGATACATGTCTTCCAAGGAAGTGAAGCATGAATCGAACAAGAAGAAGAGTCCCCCTGTGTGCTTCAATTGTCAAAGAACATGGTATGTCAAGTATGAATGTCCCTCCTAAAGAAGAAGGGATCATTCAAGAAAAAGACATTAGTGGCAGCTTTGAGTGATGAAGATGACTCCAATGATGAAGATGAAGTAGCCAACCTATGCCTCATGGCCATCCAAGAAGATTCAATGGTATCTTCTAACTCAAATGAATTAAATTCACATTCTTTTGATGAGTTACAAGATGTTTATAATGAGTTGTATTTGGAATTTGAGACCTTGAATTCCAAATATAAGAAATTGATTTCGAAACTTAAAGTTGAAAATGATTTGGTTTTGAAAGAAAAAGTTGATTTTGAGAATCAAAATAAAATTTTGAAAATGATTTAGAGCTTTCAAAAGTCAAAATCAATTATTTAGAAAAATAAAATTTTGATTTAAAAGTTAAGCTTGAAAGCTTAACAAAAGAAAAATAATCAATTTCTAAAAACAACTCATTATGTTTGAAAATAGAAAAATGCTCACATTGCCATTTTCATGGTCATTTGGAACATACTTGTCCTTTGAAGAAAGGAAAACATTTTAAAATTACACAAGTATGGGCTCTCAAGGGAACAAGGGGCATTGAAACTAATGTCAAAGGATCCAAAGCAATTTGGATATCAAAATCTACTAAAATGTCTCTTGTAGGTGTGTGGGAGAAATGATGATGAAAGTGATGATATTCAAATGCTCTAGCCACACTTGAAAATGAATGGGTAACCTCTAAGCTTAATATTTTTATTTTGGTTATTTGGTTGCTCATTTAGTTTATGCATGCATGAGTTTTGAACTTAAATGATTTTGTGTTAATTTTCTAGCTCATGTATGTTAAAAGAAAGTTATGATGAACACTTTAAAGATTTAATGATTTTTCATAATTTTTGTTCATCATAATGAATTTTGGTCAAAATTGATTTTCAATGCAAATGATATCTCTCTAACAATTTATATCAACTTTTCAAATGCTTTAACTTTTCAAATGCTTTAAATTTTTTACCTTAATCTTTAAATGGTTATGCAAGTGATTTATTGTAAATGATATATCTCTAACAATTGATATCTATTTTTCAAATGCATAACATTTTTGGAAAGTTTTATGCATATGCAATTAATTTCAACAATTGGCATTGCATAAAGTATTTTAGACTAGGATATATTGAATTTCATGTGTTACTAACATGTTTGTTACTCTTTGTTGAAATTCAATTTTGTTTGAGTGTCAAGTTTTTAAAGTAAAATTTTTTTTGTTTGGAATGTACTTTTTGAAGGGGAGCTTTGATTTTTCAAATGCTTTGTCAAATTTACCACTTACTCTCCAATGTTATTTTAGAACTTTAAAGTTGAATTATTTTTTATATAACAAAAAGGGGAGAAGTATGGTTTGAAAATTTCAATTTCTTAATGAAAAAGTGAGAGCTGAACATTTTCATATATTTTCCAACTATTGGTATCTTTTTCATTAAATATTTTATTAAGGGGAAGTTTTGCCCAAAACAATTTTTCAAATGTTTTGTTATATCAAAAAGGGGGAGATTGTTGAACTATATTTTGATATAACGATTAAGGCGAAAAGTTTTTGGACTTAAATTTAATTTATTCAAAGTTTTTTAAAGTTTTCAAAAATAATCCAAAGTCCTTAAAAGTGGATTTGAGCACAAACTGATTTTCACGTACAATAAGTACTGATATTGTTCTTACAATATCGATACCTCATGATCAGTACTGATATTGTTCATATGGTACCGATACCAAGGTAAGGGAAGTATCGATACTACTAGCATTGCTCAAATTCCAGAATGCAAAAATAGTATCGATACTCTAAGTGGTACCGATACTACTTTACATAGTAGTATCAATACCATAGGTATAGTTGATTTAAAAATAACAAAGGTAGTACCGATACTCCCTTTAGGAGTATTGATACCCTCTGTACTAAGCAATTTTATTTTGCAAAAATTTCATCCCCAAACGGCTAGAAATCATCCCCAACGGCTAAAAACGACCACAACTTCATTCCAACATATAATTACAAGTTCAAAATATTTGAAAAAGGGTTAGAACACCTATCCAAGCATTCAAACATAAGAGAATAATTTTCCATTCTTATTTTATCTCTCTTGTAAATATTTTGTTCTTGTAAGCTTTAATTATTTTAAGCACCTATCTAAGAGAGGTTTTCTTGTTTATTATCTTTCCTTTTGTGAAAAGGGGATTGATTCTAGTTTAGTCATTGAAAATCTAGGGAGTGTAAAGGTTATCTCTTGATCCTGTAAAAAGAAAGCACAATTTAGTGAATTTGTTAGAAATTCCTTGGTGAGGAGCTAAGGTAGTGGAGGTAGACTTAGTTGAGAAGTCGAACCACTATAAATCACTGTGCAATTTGTCTATCTTTCTAATCTCTTTACTCCCTAAACACTAAAACTAATTCAACACCTCTTGGCAAACTTTTTCGGTTGTCAACTTGAGAATCCTTGGTGATGAGCTAAAGTAGTGGAGGTAGACTTAGAGAAGTCGAACCATTATAAATCGTTGTGCAATTTGTCTATCTTTCTAATCTCCTTACTCCATAAACACAAAAACCAATTCAACCCCTCTTAGCAAACTTTTTCAGTTGTCAACTCGAGCTTCCGCAAATCCTAACACCTTTAATTGAATGTCGTTAGGGCACAAAGGTTGTACATGAAGAGACGAACCCAAAATTTTATATTATGGGTGAACCTTTAAAATTTTAGAAGGAAACGGATTTGTAAAATTTCAGGGAGGCGAAAATAGATTTTTTTAATAAAAATGTATAGAAAAAATATAAAATATATGATACTTTTAAAATTCTAGGAGAGGACTATCCCACTGCCTTCTTCAATCCTTTCCTACATATATGGACAAACCTGAATAACACTCATACTTAAAGAGTCCTAAATTTAAGAGCCATGTGACGTTTCATACAATAAACATGCAAATGAACGGACCTGGGCATTACTTACGTAATTTTTAAACTATGTAAACATGCATGAACAATTGCCAAAGCCGAAAAGATTATAAGCATTCGAAATAGCAAAGTAAAATACCATGTAATCCAAACAATACTTTAAACATTAAATTTATAAAACTTATATGTGATTTCTATTTATTATAATTTAAATTGTATTTATCAAACTTATATTTTAATAATATCAATTTAATTTTATTTATAAATACATTAAATATATATATATATATATATATATATATATATTAATATGAAATTTTAACAATGACAACAGTTCTTTTTTAATATTTTGAAAAGGCTAAATTAAAAGTTTAATAAATTAAGGGACTTAATGATAATTTGCCCAAAATTTGAGTGTCTTGGCCTCTCTGATCCATGTAGTTCTGCATCTGGTTTGAGATGAATATTCATACGAACCTTAAACTTATGTCCACCTTGATTTATTTAAGACTCGTGGTTTTATTCACTAAAGATATATTATCACAATCGCGATAAACATAACGCAACTAAAAACACGATTGCAACCGTAATTTAAATTCACGCTATCAATAACATTTAAACATGGGACCTCTAATAATCTACTAAATCATTGGTTGTCAATATAAAGAAAGACAACTTACCCTAATGTCAATTCAGACAAAGCAAAAGTTTATCATCAGAACGAGGCAGCAATAGCGGTAAACAACGACCCCTCACTGTCAAAACCATAAACAAAGACATTTTAATAAATACATAAACTCGAACTAACTAGAAATCTTTTGACTCGACCCGACCCGACCCTAACCACCACAACTGCTGGTATATGCTTAAATGTTTCACCACTTGATTTGGTTCAAAGTAGTTGGATAGATTTAGGCATAAAGTAAAAGAGGTTGCTTAGCCGATTACCTTTTACATAAAGCAAGATGTTCTGGTAAGAGAAGATCAGAAGAAGCACCTTTGATATTCAAATCATCAACAAAACCATATCCAGCCAAATCAACATTCTAATTAATATTAAAAATGGTTATGTACAAATGTTGTGTAATAATAAACCAGATCTTTTTCTTCTACCTAATCTTTCTTCTGTCTGTTAGCAACAAATCTATGGCATAAAGTCACAAGCCCACCACATCAAACAGTATAAAAAATTGGAGTTGCCTTCCAATCTTGTCCATATGATTCTATAGAAACAACATCAATCACCAAATTCCAGCTTTTTTTCATATGTACACAAAGGGATTAAGAAAAGAATATGCCAACTGCAGTTTCCACTTCAAGAATAGGATTTAATCAACCCCAAGTTGTATAGATTCCTTCTTACTAGGCTCCCAAGTGATAACAAAACTGCCCCACCAACCCCTACTGCTTGCTCTTCGGTTTCGGCCTTTTCATGATATATCGACGGCAATTCCTTTACCCTCAAGTTCCCTAAACCGATCTTTTGTCTTACCGATTCGATGATTTTAGGGTCTGCTAGGTTCCCGGTTGCATCAGTCACGTAAAACACGTTTAGAGCCGTGTCACTCGTTGTTGATATTTCGGCTCTCGTCAATTTAAGACCGTTTTCTCTAAACGTCCGAGTCACGTCTGCCAATAGACCCTGTTTATCTGATGTGTGTAACTCCAGCCTCACTCCCTGAAATCACAAAGCTAATGCATCAGTGTCTGGGAAACTGGATGAACATTTAAAGGTAAATATTCGAGATGTTTCCGGATAGAGATATACCTCAGATGCTCTCCTTTCGATAGCAGCTTGTAAGCATTGGATTAAACAATGCCTTTCAGGTTCCGAACTAATTGGGGTTCCATCTATGTGCCTAATATAAAACTCCTATGAGAAGAATCAACAAGTTCAAGTAAACAAACTGAAATCATGAAATCAAAATCCTTAAAACAATATTTCTTTTGTAATGAACATTTAAGTACCATGCCTTATCCCCGGATGTATTGATAGTCGCATGAAACACATCGTACTGCATATCTGTCAATGTGCAAACAACGTCAAACAAAAGCTTGGTTTGATCCTTGCACTGAACATTCACAACTGAATAACCCCTTTCCACCCAATTCTGCACGGTGACCGCAGGCAAATCCAACGTATGCTGTAACATAGGTTTTCTTTCATAGTCGCGATCCGCAAACATCATTTGATGTAACCTTCTCTCAGTGTGTGTCACAGCCATGGAAACTGAGGTTCTTGCGCTGCGAATATCATTGTCTCCCTTCAAGACGTTCCTTAACCGAGCTTCTATTTTGTCGATTTGCTGCGAGTCCTCAATTGGGGACCCTGAATTACAGTCTTTTGCAAAGATCAAAGAAGCAATTCGACCATTGTGAGTCCATACTTTAGCATCCACCACATCGCATTGCAAGTCGGCCAAAACTGCAAAGACTTCGGATAAAAGACCAATCCTATCGGTTCCAGTCAATTCCAAGGCTGTTAAGCCATTAAATCCATGGTTTATATCAGGATGAGTTGTCTCAAGGGACTGTAATCCAATCAAATAACAAAATAATAATCGGCTTAACTGCAAATCAATCAAGATAGTGGTAAAGAAGGAATTGTAAAATGAAAAAAACTACCTGTTCAATGTAGCTAATAACGCTCTCATCAGTTAACTTGTTTCCATTTAAATCAGTCACATGAAAAACTGCAAAAACCCAGAAGAGAAAAACGAAATTAATTAACATGCCAAAAGAACAAACTCTTATCTAATCTAACAAATATTTGTTAATTAAGCTTACCATCCATAAACCACTGGCCATCAGATGAAATGTAAGCCTTCTTAATTGAAAGATTCAGATCTGCTAAAACCTGAATAGCATCCAACAGAATTCCATGTCTTCTAGCACTATCAACCTGAGGAATCAAAGAAAAGGAATGGGTCAAAAAGCTTTGAAAAATCAAAATAAAACATGAGACCGACTAGTCAAAAAACAGTACAATATGGGCGGTGTGTTCATATTTGAGAGGTTTCATAGAAGCTAACCTTAAAAAGAGTCGCAGTAGAGCAAACGGCATTGTCGATCACGACCCTGTAAACAAATAAAGATAAAATAGTATGAAAATAAGAGAACCATAAACCTTAAAACAATAAACAAATTTCATGGACTAAGACCACAAACCTGGGTGTACTCATCCTAATAACAAGCTTTTCATATTCATCAAGACAAGCATGCCACTCCATTTTCTCTCTTTTGGTTATGGGTTTCTTTCTTCTTTGATTGTTGTTTGTTGAAGAAGACAAAAAATGGAAACTTGACAGCAAAAGCAAGTGTTTTTATGTGATGGAAAAGAACAAGGGTGTTGGCTGAATCAAACAAGGCCAAATGGAAGATAGCCTGAGAATTCTTCCCACTTTGTATTCCTTCGACTAAATCGCTATTAACAGTTGCCCACCAAACTCTTCTTTTCTCCCTCGTTTTCGTCTCTAGGGGAAAAAAAAGGAAAGAAATAGAATTTCTAAGGGCAAAGCGCATGGTTTTTAGAACCGGACTGATTACGGAACCGGTCATGCTATCGATTTATTGATTTAATCGGTTAAATCGGTTCGATCAGTCAGAAGAATCGGACGACGTCATAATTATTTAAAAAATTAAATAAAATATAAAAAATATTTAATAAAAAATAATTTTTTATATCACAAGTCATATTCAAAGCAAATCATAACATATATAAGTTAAAAACCATAAAATCAAGTGAAATAAAATGATTCAAATTAACTACGACATAATATTTAATGTAAAATATATTAAATAATAAATATAATTATATAACTATAATTAAAAAATAAATTTGGGGCTAAAAATCATAACAAAATGATATTGTTTGGTTTAAATTTTTTTTTAAACAATCTCACATGGCTAAGAAACATAGAAGAGCATCCCAAAAGTCTAAAGAGTAAAAATATGAAAACAAAACAATCTCACATGGCTAAGAAACATAAAAGAGCATCACAACTAACTTCTATAAATAATAGAGGTAATTTGGCATTTAAAAGCATTAAGTCTTTTGATGAGCATTGAGTGAATTATTCTTTCACTTCAATCAAGCTCGAATTTTAGGCTTCAATCGAGCTTCTAAATTTTTTTTGAGTTCAAGCCTTTTTGAGTTCAAGTTTCAATATTATATTTCGAGTTTGAGTTGAACTTGATAATTTTTAGCTCGTGAGTTTGAGTCGAGTTGAGCTTACTTTTAAAGTTTTCAAGTTCGAGACGAGCTCAACAATACTCGAGTTCGACTTGGCTCGTTTAACAAACGACGTCGTTTGGTTTAATTTAAAAAAAATGGCGGTTTTTCTGGTTTTTTCCAGTTTTCAGCCGGTCCGATTTGAACGGTTCAACGGTTCTGACCGGGTCACTAGTAACAGTTCAACCGGTGTAGATTGAATCGGACTAGGCAACGATTCCCGATTGAACCGGCCGATCCGATCTGATTTTCAAAACACTGGTAAAACGCACTTTGTTTTAAGTCTTAACCTTCCCATCTTATATGTTATCTTAACCAATACATAAATCAAAATAAATATCTTAACCAATACAGGAGAGAGGGATGGGAAAAATGTAGGAGAGGGCAGCGGTCACAGTTAAACCGAGTCGAGTTAAATTAAAATATATTTAAATTATTTGAGTTAATAAATTTTTTTTTAAAATTTAAATTTTAATTAAATAAAATTCGAGTTGAATTGAGTTTATAAAATTTGAATAGAGTCAAATTATTTGGGCTTTTATTTAAGTTTAATTGTAATATTTATAATATTATTGTATTGTTTGATTAAAATTTAAATAATTTTTTAAAACTATATATATATTCATATTTTTTTCATTTGTGATATACATATATCTTATAGAATTAAGAGACTCGACTCAAACTTAAAAATTAACCATCTAATTATTAAAAATTTCGAGTTATTCTAGTTCTATTTTATGTTAAAAAAATTCAAGTCAAATTTATAAAATTATGAGTTAAGTCAAAAAAATCAATTTTTCAATTTGAATCAAATTTTACTCACTTGTATGAGAGGGGTGAGGGGTCACATGGTGTGAGTAACACCTACCCGAATTATGAGTAAGGATGGCAAATGAGCGGGTCGAGTACATATATCCTTTTCTCCATCCCCATATTCACTTAATATTTTCGTATTCACCACTCACGATGAATAAAATTTTTAAACATACATCCGTTCACACGGATTCATTCTCAAATCTACGTAACTGGATACTCATCACCCATCATGTACCCGCCTATACTTGTCCATAGCCGTGTGACAATGGTTTCACAAATTACATAAACATAAGACAAATACGCTCATTAAGAAACATATAGAATCACACAAAGATTAAGTTTTTTTCTTGTCATCGTCAAATTTAAATTACGATTTGAGGTTCGTCGATGATTGTTTGTCATGTGATTGCCATAGGTGGAGACACTGTTGGGATTAGGTTCGGTCAATAGCAATGAAGAAGACAAAGAATGACGATCGACGTGAACATATAGATTAAAATTAGGGTTTTTGAAGTTTTGATTTTGTCATATTTGAGAAATTTTTTATTTTTTATAAAAATTATATTTTATATTTTTTAAAAAATAAAAGTTCTAACGTGACACGGATTATTTAATGGAATTTTTAATGGCAGTTACTGCCCGGACACTTAAAATGATAATGTTTGTAACGCTAGACACTTAGATTAACAAAAAAAATTAAAAATCTATTAAAAAATCGGTATAGTTGAGATTCTTATTTTTATATTAAATCTTTATAATAACTATTTCTCAAAATGTTAATTACGGGTGATAAAATAATACATTTTCTCCAATTGTATTCAAAATGTAACATATATCATTCAAAACTGAAATCACCTTAAAACTATTTTACTTATTACTATTCATATCAACATACTTCAATAAATAATTTTGAACTTAAATTATTAAATTTTTTTATTCACAGTTATTGTATAAACAAGACCCACGAAAATTCGATCGGAAAAAAATCGAAAAAAAGCCAATTGGAGACATGTTTTCACGTGGGGACGTTATAATAAGGGATGACATGTGTACAAGTATGTGGATTTCACGCTGTTTCGTTTTAATTAGGGCATGAATATGTATAAATTTAATAGGTAGTGGGTGAGTGTGATGTAAAATGTCATATCTATCATGGGAAGTGAGTAGGTAGTGGGTGAGTGGGGATGTAAAATGTCATACCCATCATGGGCTTAAGATCTTATTCACCTCACATCCGCTCGCTTTATATTCGTCTGTCCACTAACTACTCATTATATGAATTTTTTATTTTTATGAATTTAAATATAATTTCAAAGACTATTTTATAAATTTTAAGATTTTATAAGACATGATTTATAATTTAATCAATTATTAGGGTATAAATATTTACTGTAGCATTCATTAAATTTTACAAAATAATTTTAAGAATATCCTATTCGAACAAAAAAAAAACAACTGCATTATTGAGAAAAATCAGCCTTTGAGATCTGACCGTGCATTTAACGATAAAAAAGACGACGGTCAAAAAAGAAAACGACGCTGATATTGGTGACCGTCCATGACGAAAGAGAAATAAAAGTTAAAGCTAGGGAGGATATTATCCAAATAATTCGAGTTACTAACAGAAGGTGACTTCTCACAACGACGGAGGGCAAGTACGAGGCGTAAGTAAAGTGAAGCGTGGGTGACAGCTCGGCACATTGTAATGAACTTCTTCTTTTTAGAAAGAAACAGTAATATTGATTTTTTTTAAGGAAACCAATTTTGGCGTCAAATTCGAAATTTGGTTGACAGTGGAAGACGGGTTAGGGTTGGATACAGCGGCGCCGCACATCTCTCCGTGAGACAGTGGAAGCATGTGTTCCTCTGACATGAGTAAACATGTTCCATTAAACAAACTGATAGAAATCACACTAAATTTATTTTAATGCTTTCTTCGATGTACGGGGTTTCCCACTTTTTAAATTTACACATTTTACCACGTTGCATGTCCTTTCACGTTTTCTAGTCATAGATCTTGGCCGTGGAATCCAGTACTGTCTTAAAAATATCATGACTTGGTCAAACTTTTGTGCATGTGAGATCGTCCTTATAAAATCTTCATAAGAGAACAATAGCAAATCTTGAAAACTTTGAAATTTCATTTTTATAAGTTTTGGATGAATTAATAATAGTATTTACTAAATTTTTTTTTGACAATGAAGGTAAATACTTTTGTATATGTTGTACTCAAACTTGAAACATCAAGAGATAATAAAGTTTCTTAATTACTATAGTTTGGTTCGTACTAAATTTTTATGTTTATATATTATTATATGTTGTCATAGCCGTCTTTCAGGTAGATCCGGAATTAGACTTCGACTTGAATAAAACGTTAGAGTCACCACCGATCATTTATTTTTTTTTGTTAAAAAAATTGATTGATCAGGCACCATCTTACCTGATCTGCGTTTTACAAAAAATGTGTCGGATTCTGGAGTTGGTCACAGTCAATGAAGGATTATCACCATTGAACTGCCCTTTCGATATCATTTTAATTTCTCGGTTGTCTTAATTACGAAAAATAGAAGTTTAAATAATAATTTAAACACAATATGAATTATTTGCCTTTGATAATTGTTTGAAATTTAATTGGATTCCCTTAAAAAATAAAATTAGAGTTAAGATAGAAAATAAAATAAATAATAATAAAATAAATAGAAAATATACAAAATGAGAAATTAAAAGTGTAGTCATTATTACATGGAACCTGAAATAAAATAAAATAATTAGATTAAAATATTAAATAGACTAAAATCTAAACAATAAAAAAATAAAATGATTGGAATAAATTGAAAAGAAAAAAAAATTAAAAGGATCAAAATGAATTTACGGAAAACATGGAAATACAGAAGCCATAATTTCTCTGAGACTCCATGGCAGACTCGGATCAGATGGAATGACACCGTTTTGGTATATATGCAAAGCTCCCAAAACTACGTCGTTTTGGAAAGGGTTTAAATACCCCTCTTGAGTTTTCTTATTCTCTATTTTCATTTCATTTCATTGTTTTTTCTTTCTCTAGAGAGGATGTATGCCTTCTCTCTACAAATGTAGCAAACTGCGACCGATAACTGCTGTTCGCCACCGCCTCCAATCTTCGATGGAAGCCAAATTTCGTCGGTAAGTTCGTTTTAATCTCATATTCTCCGATCTGGGTCCTTTTCTCCTAAAAATGCTCATTTTGGCATGAAAAGATCGAAGACCGTTCAGTTTCCCTTTCTCCAATCTGCCACCGTCTACCGTTGTATTGTCTTGATTCCTTAGTATGTTATTCCCTTCTATCTTTCCTCTCTTCTCACCGTTTGGATCATCGGGATTCACTCCAATCATTGTCCTCGCTCATCGGCCGAATAGGTAT